CCCCAAAACCCCAAAACCCCAAAACCCCAAAACCCCAAAACCCCAAAACCCCTAAATATCTTCCCTTGGTTGAACGAACTTGGGAGTATTTAATAAAGATTTTACCTTCGATCATTAAAAGCGATCTCCTATGGTAAGGAAGCTTCTATCCTAGCTATCTTCTTTGAAAGACTTGCCGGCTCCCAGAAATTAGAAATAGGTGAAGGAATGAATTTTTGTTTTAGTTTACAGCACAGCTGTACGATCCAGTGCCATGGTGTTCACTTCTTGGGATGGCTGCTTTCTCCAGCCAAGTGATTTCCCTCAAGATGCTTTTGAGAAGTCCCAAAACTGGTTTTGTATATGCAGGAATGCTATAGCACCCTATTTTGATAGTTCCTCGCTCTTGGCCGCATTTTCAGAAGAGCCATATTTTGGAACTGTAAATAATATTCGTGAAAGTTTCAAATTTCATAGATTTCGTAAGAACATTTTTGATCCTTTGAGCAGCCAGAGCTTGAAATTTGCTCTAGAAGCTCAGCTAGAGAGGTTTCACTGCCTGTTCACTCCACTTTACTAAGCTATGAGGCTTCAGGGTTGGATTTGATATAATTTGAGGGAGCAAATCTCCATTTTTGTGTCCATGACTCTGGCACTAATAGGAGAAGCAGGATTTATGGATCAAAATAGGAAATCCATCCGATGTTTATAAGCTTCATTCCCATCAAATATCAGCTGATCTTGCTGATTATTAGGCTGAACTCAGTCGTGATTGAAGATCGTTTTCAGTGTTAATGAGGTAAATATTTCTCAAGTGAATTTTATTAAAGTTTTCAAAGTAATTCATAATAAGGGCTACCGAAATTGATGCTAACTTTGCTCTTTAAATTTAAATTATTTTCTATATGAGTATCTAAACCCTCTTGGTCTTACTCAAATTAATTTGCTAAGTAAGGGAATCTCTGTCACCTTCTCATGATCAACTGCCGAGCAAGTATAAGTGTAGCCAAAATGAGTAGATTATTTCCTTGAGACTCTTGAGTAAGAAATTTTATTACCTGAATTTCCTTCTTCTCATATTTCATAAAAAGTACTCAGGATGGATATTAAGTTAGTGGGAAAGTTTCCTGGTCTGCTCTATTTATACAATACATTGAAGACTCTAAACATTCAAATACAATGAAATGGTGCAACATGGAGCCGAATCCACCATAATGCCATACAGATGATGCCCATTATGATCAGGAAGCCTAGACTATGTGCTATTTAGAGTAATGGTTCAGATCTGAGTGTTCAAAATCAGGTTTAGGATCAGCCTAAAATCGAAGTTCAACCGAGTTTATTTCGATTTCACCGTTATGATTAGATTTTAATAAACCTAATTCAAAATTTCAGGACAAATTAATTTGGAAAATTTGCAAAATTATCGGAAAGTGCTAGTCCAAGTTTTTAAACTCTCTTGAGAGGTCTCTCTGACCTTGGCTGGACTCTATCAGATTCTTCCACATTTTGATAAATTCTTCGGTTATTTCAAGAATATGAGAAATTGTGAGCGAATCGAAGTCGATGCTAGCCCTAGTTACCGAGATGGTCAACTAGAGCGAAGAGAAGGCTGCTTTAGTTCAAAATAATGATTCTAAGTTCCTCCCTCTTTGAATCAGGATTTTTCATAACTTACCAGGGATTTTTGATTACTGCTGGATCATCGGGATAGACCCTGAACTGCCTTTTAAGGAAAAATTCTTTATCACATTATAATATTTATGAATTCTCCAAAACATCCAAGCGTCTCGGAATGAGCTTCAGAGTAAGAAAGCTTAATAGGAGGCACTATGAGGCATTAATTAGCTATTTTAACTGAATTACGAGATCTTTTATTTTCATCATTTCCTCAGCTATATATCAACATTTATAGAAGCTATAGCCAGACAGAAAATGGGAAAAAATCTGGTAAGGCCGATGTCCTTATTTTTAGGGAGATTAAGACGTCCCAACTTCTCCTCTGAGATCGTCCGTTTGCTAAACCAATGGATCCAAGATAATCCTGAGTATCCGTATCCAAACCCAAAGGAAATCGAAATCCTTTGAAGCCAGACAGGGCTCACTGAGAAGCAGCTCAAGGTCTGGTTCACTAACACACGGAAGGTACGACAAGCCTGATCATTAATAGAGAAAACTTAAAATAACTCGTGAAGCCTTCAGGATGAAGCAGAACACCTTCATCCGAAGTCAGGTAGAAAGCAATGAGCCTGTTTTGTTGGTGAGTGTTCCTTCCATAAAGTTCTCTTTTGTAACATAATTATCGTATGCTGTAGAAATAAAGCTCCTGTGCCTACCTTTGACCAAGAAGTGCAGACAGACCCTATTGTTCAAGGAGACTTAGGGAGCTATCAACAAGATGAATGTAAGGAAATGTGGCCAAGAGAGAAGAGGCTCCAGTCACCACAAAAATTCATTAAGAATGTCATCTTCGTTGCTGAAGTGGTTGACCTCAACGAAATGTGACTATGAGACGAAACATTTGCTCAATATCTTGCTGAGCTTGGACACTGAGATTGCTCAAGTTCTTAGTCAGGCTTAAACTTTGGATGAATAAAGCATCTAGTAGTACACGGACCTAATTCCTCTCTAATTTCTTGATTCATACAACTCAAATTGCAAGTTTCGAATAGTGAGGGAACTGATTATTATTTTGAAACTTTCGTACCTTAAAAGCAAGGCTGCATATTTTTATCTTCCAAACAGAGTAGAGCTCTAGCTTCAGTATTCTCCCATCATAAGGTAAAGAGCTTTCTACAAATCAGTTCATTTTCGATTTCAAAAGTTTAGCTTTTATATATAGGCTAAGGGAGTTTTTACTATTTTCTCTGTAGGCAAATTCAGATACTGAATTAGCACTAATCCAAAAGTTCTTATGATCCAAATCGTGCTAAAACCTAGGAAATATTTGCAACCAGACGATTTGGTGAGGGTACCTCTCACAGTTATACATAATAGCTTAGGTTTCATTACCAAAGCGTCTGAGACTTCGAAGTATTATTATTAACTTTACGATGAGCACTGCCAATAGGTTATAAATCTTCTACGGCCAAATTATTTCAAAAAATTTCAGACTTTAGGTTAAGCAAAAAGGAGGCTTGGGAAATTCGAATAAAATTTTAATCGATTTTTAGCAGGATTTTTCGTTAGATTTCCTGCAGATATTGGCAGCCACTTTTTACTCAAAATATGAGCTTGAAATGACCCGGAAACTTTTATGACACTCGTAAGAAGTCTCTCGGAGGGATTCAGGGATTTAATAATACTTCTTAGCATTTTAGTAACCTAATGGGCGTTTTTGAAAATTTCGATAACTAATTTAGAAATAAAGTATTGATAATCGATCATAATTAGACTCTGTAGCACCAAAACATTAGGTAGGAAAGACAGCCTCTAAGGAATCTGGCTGCTTAATGCTCTCTAAAATAGAGGTCCTTTTCAAGGCATTGGGTTTCAAATGAGTGGTCTCAACTAGCTACAAATGGTTTCCAAGCCCATTCCATCTAACATTAGGCTCTTTCCACTCCTAAAATCACCACTGACCCTATCTCCGGATGGATGCTAAACTTATCAACAAACTTTTGAATGGTCTAAACCTGATGTAATCCAGAATGGAGTGGGCCAAGTTGGCTTATTTGCCACATTCTAGCTGGGTCATCCCCAATGGGAAAATTTTGGTACCTCTTCGACTTTATGTTTTTACTAAAAGCACTCGGGTTTCCCTAAAATTCCATATTTCTCAGTTTATTTCAACACGGCCAATAATGTTGGGGTTTTGGGGTTTTGGGGTTTTGGGGTTTTGGGG